GAGAAAAAATACATATAAGTAAAAAATTTTAAAAAATTAAAAATAAAAATAGAATACAAAATAAAACTACAATATACTAATCAAACATATAGTTCTCAAAAACTAGTTCATGAAAAATAACTGGTTTCAAAAATGCTAGAAATGAGGGGGAAAACCCACATATGAATATGTATGAATAGCCACGAAACCTTAAGATCACAATTAAACATAGAAAAAGAATTTTAAATAAAGATCTTAAAGAAAAGGTAAAGATTTCTTTCTGTTGGAGTTCAAGAGATTCTCAGTTTTTCCTCTCAGGGTTTTCTGGAGTGTGATGCTCCACCCCCTAGATTGCTGGAATGAGAGAGGTCATCCCACAGGCAGAGATCTGGAGACAGGGTTTAGGATTGCATGGGCTCCAAGCTCTTCACTGAATGCCAGCTGGCCTGGAGATTTTAAATCAGCACACCTTCAGTGTCCAGCACTTCCTACTCCAAACTGAAAGACTGTACCCCAGGGATCTCCTCTGGGTCCTGCTCATATGGTTGGGGACCCGATTCTTAGTCCCCTAAGCCACCTTCGGATCCCATGTTTCCTGACCTCGGATTCAGTATCCAAACAATCTCTCCTGACCCTGCCCTTACGAGTTCCCAGTCAGATGTGTGTCTCACACCCAGCAGGTCCTCCGAACAACTGGTTTGGAGGGAGAGGGGTAGAGCCAGGTGGGTTTCCAAGACCAGTTGTCCCCTGTGTAAACCTTTTTCCATGTTTGTTTACTGGGCCTATAATTTGGGCCAAACTTGGGTTTGCCAGGAATTGGCCCCCATAGCTGCTGGCCCCCGCACTACACAGCAGCTGCAAAATGGTTCCTTCTTTAGTCTTCATCAGGCCATCAGCTTCTTTTCCCATTTCACCACTACTGTGCAGCGAATCTTTCTGGTTTGCTGGCAATGTCCTTAATCTCTATATGCTCCATACCCAGACATGTCTTGGGCCTCCCAAAAATGAGGGTTTCTTTAATTCCTTTATCCCTCTACTATGCTTATGGAGGGACCGCTCTGGCCAGTGCTTCTAGCCCAGCCATGGCAGTGGCTGTGCCACTGGGGATTTTTTTCCTTATTTTATTATATCCAACCTCCTGAGTTCCCGATCTGCTTTGAATGTCCAGCTTTAAATTCCAGAAAAGTACCTCTACTTTTTTTGGTCCACCTCCTTGCTGAGAAGCTGCCTATCTGCTTTCTTGGCTTTTCCTTGTTACTTGTATTCTTGATAATTGCCATCCTGACTGGAGTGAGATGGAATCTCAGTGTACCTTTAATTTGTATGTCTCTAATTGCTAGAGATATTGAACATTTTTTCATATATTTGTTAACTGATCGTATTCTCCTGTGAAGCATCTGTTCAGTTCCTTTGCCCATTTATTGATTGGGTTATTTGTTTTTTTGCTGTTAAATTTTTGAGTTCTTCATATATCCTGGAGATTAATGCAGGTGATTAATGCAAAGATTTGTCTCCCATCCTGTAGGACTCTCTCACATTCTTTTAAAAAATACTTTATTTAGAGACAGGGTCTGAGTTGCTTAGGGTCTTGCTAAATTGCTGAGGCCGGCTTTGAACTTTCAATTCTCCTACATTAGCCTCCTGAGCCAATGGGATTATAGGAGTGAACCACCGCACCCAGCTCTTTACATGTTCTTGATTGTTTCCTTTGAAGGAAGAAGCTTTTTAGTTTTAATCCATCCCATTTATTGATTCTTGGTTTTACTTCTTGCACCAGATTTTTAAAACTTGAGATAAACATTTCACTTTAGAGTAGTTTTAGATTTCCCAGGTTGCAGAGATGATACCTCGTCAACCTATACCTGGGTGCCTTGCTATTAACATCTTGCATCACTTTGTACGTTGGTCACACCTGACTGGATGTCCCTTCTCTGGGCCAGGCTCCTATGTGGAACAGCATGCTGCATTTAAAATCATGTTCTCTGTTGTAGGTGCCACCTTGGGCTTGCCTTTTTCCTTGATGACCTGCATTGCCAGTTTGAGGAGTGAGGGTTAGGTATTTTATAAAATGATCCTCAACTGGGCTTTGTAGGGAGTTATTCTCATGGTGTAAGGGCTTGGAGAGAAGGACCACAGTGGTGAACTACCACTCTCAACACATTGTATCACGGTGGCACCCTGTCAACAAGACTTGTCCCTACTGGCACTGACCTGGATGCCCTGGCAGAGGCTGCCTGCTGGGTTCCTCCATGCAGCGTTTGTTGTTCCCCATGCTCCCTCTCACCTGGTACTCTCTGAAGCAAGCCTATGTCTTGGGGTAGTCTTACACTCCACCACCTTTGGGAGGAGATGTCTACAGAAAGTATTGGGAATTCTGCAGAACAGACTGCACATTGTATGTTCAAATTATTATCTTAGTATGAGTTCTGGGTATTCACTGTATACTCTGGCTCATTATCTAAGCTACATATTTAATTTCTTCCTTGAACTGTTCCCACTTTTGTCACTGAGAGCACCTCAGTTGGCTCCTGTGTCCCTGGGACACAACCTTTCTTGCTGATTCCTTCTTTCCAGTGCTATGAGAACCTCTAGGCTCATGCTGGTTCCTCCCCTCCCTAAAGCAAGGCACATGGAGAACTGTGTGAGAAACCACCTCTGGTGCTGGGCACATCATGGGCTCTAAGCACCGTTTTGATTAGTGATTTAATAGCAGATGCAATGAGCCAATGTTTCCCTTTCCTCTTCCCTTTAAAAATACACCAGCAATCCCACAGAACTAAGTGAACATGCCCAGTAGTTTCTCTTTGACTACAGCCCTGGTGCTCAGGGCAAAACCAGAGACAAGAGCCCCACCCTTTGTTGTGGATTCCACGCAGACACTAGCTCCATCACTACTCGGAGATTCCTTATTCCTCCCATGGAAAGATTCAAGAGTCTCTTGAATTCTCGTTCCCCTTTCCAACCTTCTTTAACATAATTCTAATTCTGTGAGTATAGAGTTCTAACCACAAACCTCTTCAGAGACTGCCCTGCTTTGTATGGCTCAAGGATTCAGCAAGGCTCCAGGGCAAAATGCCCGTGCTTGCTGAGGAGTGTTAATGACCTGACAGACACACTCCTCTCTCCCTCAGATGCCCAGGGATCCTCCACCCTCGGGGCATGCCAGGCTCCCTCCTGGGACTAGAGCCCATAGGCACCACTTCTGCCCATTGCAAACGCTGCCTGAGCTGCTCCCTTGTTTGTGAGGCCAGCCCATGGCATTCTGCTGTGGGACCACTCAAGGTCCACCCTGCATACCTCAGTGGACACACAGCTTCTAGCATGCTGTTCTGTGATCTTGCTGACATGTCTGAGACCCTCCCACCTAGCAATGAGCTTACCCAGGATGAAAATTTTGTATTACTGAGTTTTCAGTCTCTCCAGCAGTTCACTACCAAGGACTCAAAAGGCACTCAATGGTGGCTGTCAAGTGAATTAATAAGCAAAGAAATGGACAAAGAAACAGATAACTAAGCAAACCACTAAGATGATAAAAATCACTATTTTTCCTGAATGTCTTTTTGAAATGAAGACAAAAATTGTTTTCATTAAGACCTTCAATGATTCCTCTGATTCTGGCAATTTGTATTTTCAGCATTAAGGAAAGTCTTTCAAGCTGAAGAATGTGGCAACTTTTAAATAAAAGATCCAAACTACAGTGAATGATAGTTTTAATATTTTAATGACTAATCTGTTAAGAAGCACAACACAGGTGAGATATCTTTTTTTTTTTTAAAGAGAGAGAGCGAGAGAGAGAATTTTTTTAATACTAATGTTTAGTTTTCGGCAGACACAACATCTTTGTTTATATGTGGTGCTGAGGATCGAACCCTGGCCGCACGCATGCCAAGCGAGCCAGATACCGCTTGAGCCACATCCCCAGCCCCAGGTGAGATATCTTTATAAACACATACAATTACAAATATTTGGTGAGTATCTACTATTTGTGCCAAAATACTGTGAAAGTGAGACGCTGAGCTCCAAGGCCCAGTGGTGCATTAGGTCACAGCTCTGCAACAAGACGGACTGCTGGGCCACGTGCACACACATGACACAACAGGCCCAAAGGACACTTATGTAAGTACCAAAATAACGGCTATATCTACTATTACCCATCATCATTTCAAATGATTTCACATGCTTTGTAATGACTTCCAAAACTATTTATTTCTACTTTTATTTTTAAATGATTATATCTCCCTTGAAAAATCCTATTCTCAAAACAGGGATGATAAGCTCACAGCATGAGAACAGGTGGACACACCTAGAAAGTCCAGATGAAATCGAATACCATTAAGTCTTTATTACATGGAGAATTTTCACTGTATTTTACCAGCATCTCTCAAATGCCAGAAGAATTTCAGTAATGACAGAGAAGAAAGTGTATTGGCAAAATATTGCACTACTGTAAATGAAAATAAAATTGGCCTTTACAAGAATAAAACAAACATCAATTATTTTTTGGCGAATTATCAAAAGATGAACTGCAGAACTCCCAAGACTACCAAGGCGTAAGCTCAGCTCAGCTTACGTACACGTGAAATCATCTGAGTCTAATGTAGGAATCAATTTCATTATCAGAGAAACTTTTAGATATTTTAAATTTTCTGATGCATGGGCAACAAGTAATCCTTATTCCTCCATTTGTGAAAAAATTCCTTAATATACAGAGAACATGAGCAATAGTGCACAGGCAATATTAGAACTCCATGTAAATCAGAAGCGATGTACCCCTCATCATGATTAAATGTAGATGAAAAGTGCATTAACGTGTTGATAGGCCATACACATTATTAGCATAACATCTACCAACATATTTAAATGCTTCCTAACAAAATTAATGACATTAAGAATTTTTAAAAAACGTTTTCTTTTCTAGATACGTTTTAGAAACATGGTGTCCGAGTCAATATTTAATTTTACGTTAAGAAATGGATTCAGTTCTGAATGCTTATGGGTCTAGACAGGTGTGCAGTACTTACTCTAACACTTCATAGTTAGACTTCTTTTCCAGTGCATTGCCGCGCATCTCCCAGTATGATCGCCTAAAACCAGGGAAGACAAATTAAAATATGTATGCATAGAATAAATATGTTGTTAAAGGGTAACAATAGGGGGCAGCTAAGTAACAAGCAAGTAATTTGGAATCTTCTTGCACTTCATTTAGAAGAAAGTACTTGGAAATTTTTTCAAAAATAATGAAAAGCATTGACAAATTTGGTCACCACCTACCGTATTTCTAGGCAACCCAACTTCAAAGCAATTTCCTGGTCCACTTGGTCTGCTATCTCTAGCATGTAGTCGCTCTTTACCTGCAAGGAGAGGAAGCGGGGCTGTTCAGAGGAAGGTTGACTCCACCCAGGCATTCCACAGCATCTACAGACCATTCACACTGTCAATTACCACTCCAGATTCTGGATATAAAATGAGTGACACCAAATACAATTGAAGAAACAATAGTCTCCTGATAAAAGAAGCTCATGTCATTGATGCTGGCTTACATGGGATTTAGAAACAACTCACACACCTGAATCATAGGAATGCTAAGCTCCCTTGCACCCTACCCACAGGGTCAGAAGCAAAAACAAGCAGGAAAAGATCTTTTTCCAAGAAAACTTGCAGCAGATGCATTTTCTAAGCTATGACTACAGTTCTGCAGCATTTTGGGGATCCAGTGCAAATTCATGGAAATTTACATACTTACCTAGAGAACTGAGGTGTTTCTACCTAACCACTGATTGTATGCGACCAATCTGCAAAGCAAGGAAATGCTTCAAGTCTAACAGAAAGCAAAGAGTCTACAAGAACTCCAGAAATGCCTCCCAGCAATGAATATGCTCCATGAGAAGTGCTGATGAGGCAGCGAGCAGCTAGCTGTAAGCACAAAGGCATCTTTAGAGCTGAGACACAATCACGCTTCTGACAGATGAGTGCTGAGAGCAACTTCAGCAAAAATCCTGAAGACAGGTGCACGCGTCCTGAACCTCCCTCGAAGGGTGTCTGGACCATCAAACATTTATTCCATTACACCATGAACTGCACCAATACAAAAATCTTTCATAAGACCTTTGATTTTGTCTCTTGGTCCTTGAAGCCTTACCTATTTACTCTCTGGCCCTTCACAGAAATAGTATGTTGATTATTGCCCTGGAAAAAATTTCAAACACCATGCTCTTCAACTACTAGCTCTGAGCCTGCTGGCGCACTGGCTCTACGACTTCTACCCCATTCATTGGCCCTCACTTCACACCAATCTCAGTCTGTCTTATGGTGGGGAGGTCATCATTATGACCTTCTTCTTTGGATATTTTTGTCTCCCCTTTATCTCCTTTAATTGCTAGGTAAAACCGTCCCACAATGAAGCCAACCACTTCTCTATGCTTCCTGCGGGACAGCTGGAGAATGCTCATGAACCTCAACTTAACCTCAGCAGGCCTGCTCAGCGTTAGTTCAGCAGTGTCCCCATGGGGGTTCCCCACACACCAGTGTCACACTTTCCCCAGTTACCAGTCTCTATCAGGTGGGAGTACTCTCTTCTTTGACCTGCTGAGAATGAGAAACCCGATGCCACCGGCACCCACCCACACATTCCTTTCTCTTAGGGCAGGAGAGGTGGCTGGTCCCTAGCATGGGACAACACATGATTTCAAAGCCTGCACAGGCACTTAGACCTGGGTGGTCAATAAATATTGATTAAATGAATGAGTGGGCAAATGAATGAACAGATAAGTAGTCAACACACTGGGGAGTATTTCTGTGTGTGGATATTTTGTAGATGAGACTTACAAGCAAAAATAGTTTCTATTCCTTGCACAGCAGACACTCGAGACTGACAACTGGAATTAAATTACTCAACCCAGTAGGTTAAGTCGAATCACTTAGAGTAATCACATTGGCTCAGCCTTCTGTACAATAAAGCAATCCAAATGTCAAATCTCAGTGTCTGCACCAGAGCAGCTTTGTCACTGAATACAAAAAAGGGAGGCACAGAGGCAGATGTTTGCAGTAGAGGAACCCCACAGCTAACTGTGGTTCTGTCTTCCAGTGCATATTCCAGGAGAGCAACAGATGCTTGATGACACGCTGAGGAAAACACAAAACTGCTGGAAGATCAGTCACTGAAATTTCTAAACACTATTCACAGATAAGAAAATATGATCTAGACCTGTATTTCATTCTTCAAAACTGAATTCATATGAGTTGCAAAAAGGGTTAATGATAATTTACCAAGCTCTAGAAAATCCCCTACAAACGACTTCATGCTCTAGGGTTGTTTTTCCTACAGCTCCAATTTATTATTCTTGAGCATCAAAGCTGCTGACCATGGCCTGGAACACCCTATGGTATGAAGTGATTCACATGTTCTGCAAAGGGCTTTGACCGGTGACAGCACGGATGGGCACAGCAGGCCTCAGGGCCCTTGTAGTGGAAGGAAAGAAAACACACCCATTGGCTTGTTCCAGGGCTGCCAACTTGTACCCTCTAGATTGTGTGTTCTGAAGGTCCTGAGAGGGTCACATCATGAGGCGGGCTTTCAAACTCAGGGTTCCTTACCCTTGGTGTCCATTTCCCTTGTGAAATACGTTTGGACTTTGCCTTCGACTTTCGCAGAATTGGTTGTTTCCATTTGCAAGATAAATGAAACATACCAGGTCATTTAAGCTCATGTGCACATGCAGTTGTGTACCACACGATGGCATTTCAGTCAGTAGCTTGACTGCATATGTGATGGTGGAATGCTAGAGCTGTCTTAGATCTTACAGTGCATTCTGTGGTGTCTGCACAACAGTAAGATTACCTAATGACACACTTCTCAGAATGGACCCCTACTGTTCCTTAATGCAGACTATAACCCACTGTGAAGCATGTGCGTGTGGACATGAGCACATGCTTAGAAGCACATGGGCTCCTTAAGCCAACTTATATGCAGGACACTATCATCATTGCCATCTTATAGCCTCAGAAAAACCCTGAGGGAAAGGATCAAGATGATGGCAGAGAAACATATACTACTTAAAGAGATCTACCAGGGGCCAGGTCCTGTGCTCAACATTTTACATCCATCATTTCTGATCTTCACAATTCTTCAGGGTAAATTTCATTAGCACCATTTATTTATATATATATAAATATATATATATATATATATATATATATATATATATAAAACTAAAAAACTTAATTTACACTGGGTCACATAAACAAGCTTCAAAGATGAAGTTCAAACACCAAGATGACTGGTCCCTAAATCGCAGGCTTCACTGTGCCTGCTTCCTTGGACTGTCACAGAGCAGACACATGTGACCGGAGCAGTGGTGGCCACACCACGTCAACCCAACAGCCCACTGAGACACATGCCAGCTCCACTGGGCCGCTCATTGCTCTGTGCTCTCTCTTCAGCAGGATTTCTACTGAGAACTAATTCTAGGTTCAGCAGTGTACAGATGTTTTCAGAAGAATGCCCAGGAGAAGAGCAATCGTACTAAAGCCAGCACCCAGAAGCTCCAGGTGGCGGAAAACACCACCAGGGAGCAGCAGCACGTTACCAGAAAATTACCTCTGTTGCCTTTCTATTTCTAAATCTTTTATGAACAAGGATGATGAAGAAATAAGAGTTGATTAATATAAATTTAAAAGTTCACCTAAATCTTCATTAACCACAAGAGCTTCTCTGAATCATGGAAATACACAGGCATGGAAAGAGAAGTGTACACTATTAAATCTACCAAAGAAATACTGAGAATTCGACTCATAGAAAGATAGACCTGTACTTAATTTTTTACTGTTGCATAATTACATATACTAGTGGAATTTGTTATGCCAACCTTGTACATGTACACAACAAAGCTTGAAAAACACGGTACGTATACAAAACAGAGCCGGAACAACCCTGTGCATGCACACAACAGAGCTGGAACAACCCTGCGAGTGTAAACAACAGAACCTGAACAACGCTGGTTGTGTAAACAACAGAGCCTGAACAACCCTGGAGGTGTACAAAACAAAGTATGAACAACCCTGTTTCCAGTACCTTCTCTCTCCCTACCCACCTGCTCCCAGGTCTCCTGGGCCTATACACGACTTTATCTTCTCTCTGGAAAAGGGCAGCTGACTACCCCGACTTCAGCTGAAAATGTCAGATTTTAAACTCAAATTTCACACTTAGAGTTGCAATTCCCTGTTTCTTTTTCTAGTAGGGATTGGACACCCAATGATACTTTACCACTGAGCCAGATTCGTAGTCCTTTTTATTTTGAGACAAGATCTTGGTAAGTTGCTTAGGGCCTCATTAAGTTGTGATCCTCCTGTCTCAGTCTCTTGAGTTGTGAATACAGGCTTGTGCCACTATACCCGGTTGCAATTTTCAAAAAATGCTTTAACTGTAGCTTCAAGGCCAAAACAGTATAGGATGAAGTTTATTTCTGACAATAAATAATCTGAGTGAAATATTATAAAAAATAATAAATTGGAGAAAACAAAAAGATTGATCAACAGCTGGCACTTCACACATTTCCACACCACAGCCTAGTTGTGATTCTAGACTTGGTTGTTGTCTTGGAATTCTTTTGTTAAATAAACCATTGATTTGTTTGGTATTTCTTACAAACAACAGGTGAATATACTCATGCTAAATATAAAATGTTTACAGGAGTAAACAAATGAGGACTTTGTATCAGATCCAGGCATCTTACAGGTTGATATGTCGACAGCATCAAGTGAGTTCTACACAACTTCAACATCATCAATGGAAATTTAACAAATGTGGCAACCTTGAAATTAATGGCCACTGCCATTTGCGAAAGGGTGGCAGTCAAAAACAGCTATAACCAATGAGAGCTAAGCAAGAGAAAGAAAAATGTTATACGATGAAGGAAGTCTAATTTTTAAGGTAAATATACTTTCTTGTTTCTAAAAGTCATAAGCTTTGTCATCAAAACGTATTTTTCAGACTCCTGCCTTACAGTAAATAGTGTTACAAGATTCTAATTTTAGAATGTGATGACTAACACCTTTCAGGATATTAAAAATGAGCCAACAACATTTAATGATCCATTTGAGGATTTCTCACCCGGCAGTCATGTTCAGGACAACTTTTACTGTAACCACGTGCACACAACATCATCTGACCAGAACCGAAACCTCCAACATGAATACATCCACTGGCACCTTGTTTCCCTTGTGACTCCACACAGTGGGCATGGACTCCATATTCTCCTAATTTCTTAGTGGAATGGCTAAACAGCCTCCAAAGCCATTTATAAATTCAATCTAACCTTGATGCTGCCATCCAATCAAGGTGGTCTCATTTTAAAATTTTAAAATTCTGACCAAGGCGTTCACTAATTAAATTCTTTAAAGGGCTCCCAATAACCTATAAAAAACATAAACTCCTTTTCACTCACATTGGTTTCTTGTCAAGCCACGTTAGCCCCTACAGAAATGCACAAACTCTTCTTTCTCTTCGCCTCATTCCTGTCAAGAGAGCACCTGGATGCAGGTGGATACTCCTTGGAGCCCGACTCCATGCATTCGCTGACCTAGCAGACTCTTCTAGAAGGTCCATGTTGCCTGCTTGCGCTTACTCACAGCACAGGAGCAAACACAAGGCAACTGTCTGCAAGAACTATCTGCAAGACAGAGGAAGCACAGGTGCAAATCACCACCCCTGCCTTACTAGCTCGGGGTGGATGGTCATTGAAGATGTTTAAGACAAAAACGTGACCGAGTGCTCTCAGTGGCAAAATGGTACATGCAAGTGGCTGGTACCCACCAGCAGCCTTCCAGGGTACACTTCCACAACACTCACAGGCAACACTTATATGGTGTCATGTTGGGCCACAGGTGTAAACAGCAGCTCTTCAGCGTGAAAAAGTCAGGTTTTGCTTTACTGTTCAAACTACTATCAAGACCAAATGGGTAAAGTTCACTCTAACAAGGACTTTCACATGAGACAGACTTACTGATACCCCTGCTAGAAAATTATCCTTGAATGAAAGAGAGCGACATGGTTATAGACTACTGTCGCTTTATAAAACAACTACCATTTAAGATTTGTCCCAGAACACAGCTGTTCACAAAGAATTAAAATCTCAATTTCTTATGGTTAAAAGGTTTTCCATACAGTGATAAATTTATATTCTCTGAAATGCTGGGTTTCCTCTAACCATAAAAATATGCAATAAATGATTCAAAGAAACAAAAAAGCATATTAGAGCACTCTCTCATACCTGTTGGTAGAAGAAATTCAGAGTTGGCTTGTCTTCAGTAAACTGGTTCAGAAATCCTTTTGGCAAGTAACGAATCCTTAATTCATATCTAAAAAAAAAAATTTCATGAAATAAATAATAAGAAATAAGTAATTTTCAATTAATTTCTACGAGTCCAAAATTACTGTACATATGGCATTGCAAACTACTTTGAAATATGATTTTAAAAAAGATATAAACTATAATCAATCTTTACATGGAAATCTTTATTTTTAGCAAAAATAAAGGGCTCACTGGGCAACTAAATGGCAGACAATTTTCTCTCGTTTCAAAAATAATGATCCTGCGGCAGGCAGCATGGATCTCGTTCTGCAGGGAGGGCTAAGGGAAGGCCCAGGTCACAGATCTGCTAATCACAGCACGGGCTACAGCTCAGTGTCCTGCAAGGACACAGAACACATCAAATCGCCACCAAGGCCCAGAGGGAACACAGCCCTCACCCCACCACCCAGAGCTAGCTACCACAGGGGTACAGGCTTTCTGTGTGAGTCTGATGTCTGTTGCACAGTGGGCTCACCATGGTCTGAGCTGGCTGCAAGCACAGTGCACTGAGGGCCATGAAATCAGCACCTCAGCAGGGCTGGTTGCCCCGTGACCTGCTCCAACTTTTTGGCTATAATGAATAATGCTAGTCTTTTTTCTTCTCCTAAACATAAAAACTCACTAGCTCAAGAAAACAAGTTTAAGAGTGGTCTGGGCTGGGGATGTGGCTCAAGCGGTAGCGCGCTCACCTGGCATGTGCAGGGCGCTGGGTTCGATCCTCAGAACCACATAAAAATAAAAAAATAAATATTAAAAAATTCTCTCTCTCTCTCTCTCTCTCTCTCTCTCTCTGTCAAAACAAGCTGGCCTCCCCAGAATGTGCTCCACATGCTTCTTCTGGGTTTGTGTACCCGGAGGAACTCTCGTGTCTTCTGGTGAATGTGCAGCAAGTTCCCACGGTGCAAATCCCAGAGGACAAGCACCGGGCTATGACAGAGGCGAACACAATGGTAGTGGGTGATCCCTGCAGGGTGCCATGCTGTGCCACACTTGGCCTTTTCCACACCCTAGTCCACCTGGTCTCCACCTTTCTACTTGTTCCCAACAGCACAACAAAATTGGACATGGCAGTTTTAGCTGCCTTCTCCATGGGGACTCCTCCACATTCTAACTGAATACTCTGGCACAGGTGCAAATTACCACCTCCTTTAACACCCAGAGTGCCTGGCCTCCTTGCATGCTCTGCCCCACTGAGTGCTCTGTCTCATTTCCCACCGCCCCTCCATACTGCCAACTCTGTGTGTTTACACATGAGGCCTTCGTAGACATGGACCGCCCTCTCCCGCCTTGTCACCTGCCTTCCTAAAAGTATCTATTTTGGAATGAAAAGGTCACTTCATATATCAGTTCTGTCTCATTAAAATACATAGTTTACCAAACAATTAGGTTCTGTTTCACTTTTACTCCCAAAAAGAGTTCAATGACTTACGGCAGCCATTCTGTGTTGGGTGGTTTTTACAGAAGTGACACAGATCTCATCTGTGTTAAATGCAGGGCTGGCCAGCACTTAACTGCCTTCCGTGACTTCTCTTCATCAATGTCAAGATCAGGGAGCAGGCCAGGAAATGATACTGAATAAGAATAAGTGGTCAGTTCTGAGCTTATATGCTCAGTACTCAGGGAGGCCAAAGGAGGCTTCCAGCACTAATATTATGCCCATTTTAAAGATAAGCAAATAGTCCAAAAATGGGTCCACGCACAGCACCCTGTTGCTGATGGAGATTAATACCTACTGAATACTTGGTACGTGACACAAGTTTCAATGAGAATTTTACACAGATGACTTTGTTTCATGAGAAGCGGAAGGAATGTGGGCTCTTGAGCAAGACTGCCAGCACCTGAGCTCCAGTCATATCACTTAAGTTAGCCTTCACCTCTTGCCTCAGTCGGCTGTGGCTCTCAGCAACCTCTCAGCCTCAACTTCCTCCTAGGAAGTCGCAAAAATAAGCCATCTGCAAACACAGACATCTAGAACATCCCAGGCATAGCAGGGGTCTCTAAGGTTTATCCTGGTGGTCCTCACTCAGAGGGACAACACCAAGCACGTCTGAGACCTAGCAGAACGAGGCAGGTCCTGGCTCTCATAAAGCTTGTAAGGTCTATGTAAAGTGGTAGCAAATGTCACAGAGACAAGCCACTAGGGAACGACAGTAAGTGCGCCTCGACAGGAAGCGGCTAGAAAAGGGCATTCTGACACAGGCTCCAAGTCAAGGAGGTGAGAAAGTGAGTGACACAGATGCAGAGAAAGAAGAAGAGTCCAAACAAACCAAGGCCACGGGGCCAGGAGACCCTTGTGTAACCCAACACAGCCAGCGGACTGAGCAAGGGTGTGAGGAGTGAGGCAGCAGAGCACACAGGCCCTGTAAGTCAGGACCCTGCAGCTCCTTCTCAGTGGGCAAAGAGTGTCACAGCAGGGTGCTGACATCATAGGACAGATGGTCCCTGAACTAGACTGCACCATGCAGAAAGGGCGGCAGAGCCCCAGAAGAAGCAGGGCACCACGAGGCAACTGTTCCTCAAGGCTCTGAGGAACAATGGCCAGGGCAATACTCACTCCACTCCCAGGGGAAGAGCTAAAGGGGCTGTATTCCCAAGGTGCCCCATCTGCTAGCAGATGAGGGACTCCTCTCCAGCAAGACATGTACAATGTCCACGGTGACCCAAGACCAGGAGAAAGCACCCAGAACCCACATAGGAACTTGCATGGAGCTTGCTGCATGTGGGCCAAGGACCATGGTCCCTGCCCCAACACACTCAAGCAGATTTCATAAGAACACCACTGAAACTCTGCTAAAGGTGGCCAAATTTAATCCATCCAATCACCTCTCCTTCATCCTTCCAGCATGCCACCCAATGATGCCTTCCACTGCCCCTCATCCCTCTTGTCCACCAAGCTCCTCATCCTCCTACACTCTGCAACCATTCCAAATGCCTGGTGTATCCTGATATGTACGCTGCAGTGAACACAACACACCCCAAATAAGATCATCCTTCGGCTGCTAATCCAAGCCACGCACTCCCATCAGTGCCACTGTTGTCTGGCTTCCTCAGACTGACCACCAACTCAGAGTATGAGGATGCCCACAAGCCAGCCAATGATTGGTAGGAGCACAGGTGTTCCAGAGGAGCTAAGCTGGACCAGGCTCCACACAGACACTGAGGGGGCCAGTGCCAGTCTGCCTGTGAAATGAAGCACCATGGGAAATGGCACAGACAGCCCTTGGCATCAGCATGTGGACAGGGCATTCCTTAGTGGCCTCCAGTCAACAGCAACTGAGAAGGGAAGAACAGAAACATTCACTGCATGGAAGTCACAGCAGTAATCTCTGTGAGACTGCGCCACGAGGGGTGCTGCGATCAGTGAGTGAGGACACAGAACTGGCACCACTCTCCACAGGACCTGTGCAGATGGCATGAGGAAAAGTGACCACATGGGGGAGCAGCCTGCTGCCACCACCTTACCCTGACATCCAATGCTGTCATTACAGACTTCAGAAGTGTTTTGCCAAAAATGCATAACCTTCACAAAATCATGAAAAAAAAACCAAAAAAAACTGACAAGCCCAAATTGAGGAGCACAGAACAAATAACCGGTCAGTATTCTTCTCAAGTGCCAAAAGGCAGGAACAGCACAGGCAAACTAAGGACTGTCCAGGCAGGAGAGGATCCCAGGAGGTTTGAGAGGTGGCAGCAACTGTGCAGAGGCCAGAAGGTCAGAGAGCAGTGCGGCGTCCACACTGAGCTTCTGGGTTAATTCTGCTGTTTGCCTGTGACTGTACTATTAAAGCTAGGTGAGGGTACACAGGACTTGATGCATTACCCAGAATGTTAAAACTCTTACACTCCAAAGTTGATCCTTCTGTGGTAAAGTAATAAATACTCACCAGAACCAGTTTTATGCCACTGTGGCCTAAAATACCAATTATACAGCCACAGACCCAACAAAACTCATTCTGAAGCACCTTTACTCCATCTACTAACAATGTGGCTCAGTGGACAGGCACACTAGGACCACTAAGCGAGGCGGTGCTTTCTCCAGCTCAATGAAGCAGGAATTGACTCTGAAGAGCATGTTTCCAGATCCTCAACAATCAGGAAGAGCCAAACCCCACCACGGTCCTGGAGCTGGTAACACTGCTTGCATCCCCAGAGCTGGCTGCTCGGATTCATGCTTCTCAAACCTCATTGGCATCAACAGCACGTTCTTCTCAGGGAGGTTGTCACTGACTGGCACAGCTCTCCTAAAAGCCCCATGCATGACTCAGAGAAGGAAGCATATGATCTCAGGTGTGGACAATATATGAGTAGAACATTCCCACTGAATTAAGAAAAACTGATTATGTCAAAAGTCAGATGCCCAGGATGGGACCACAGTTCAGTGGTAGAGGTCTGCCCGGGACACACAAGGCCCTGGGTTTGATCCCCTGCACCAGAGCAAATTTAAAAAGAGGAAGAGGGCATGGTGGCTACATCTGGAGACAGAAACAGAGAATATCACTATGAATAGGGCACACCTCTACTTAAATGGGCAACACCAACTAAAGGTGGTAGGGCATTGATAAAAGGCATAAGGAAGGGACGCTTACACCACCAAGTCCGAGAGCAGAGGAAGATGCCGTGATCAGGAGCCTTCATGCTCTTGCCAGGACAGCCTTAAACTCCTAACACAAGACAGAACCTCTAAGAAAAAATTAGCTGATAAAAAATTATAGCTGAATACATTAATGCCATTTTTCAAGCAAACAAAATGCAAACGTCATCTTCACAGGCTTAACAATAAGCTTAAGGGAAGGCACAGGACACACCTCTTTCCAATCACAGGATATGCAGTCCTTTCAAAACTGATGAAAACGCCAATGAGACAGGAAGGCACAAAGAATCATCCACAGAGTTTTAAAAAAATTAATGTCATAAAACACTATTTTTCCTATAAAGCAAGAAAACAAATCAATAAACAAGAATATTTTCTTTTTGTAAATTTACTTATAGCTAAAACCTGAATAGTATATACCTAAATAATTCTATGATTGAAGGGAAAAATCTTGGAATTTTTTAAATTATAAAGTACGAATTGACAATAAAAACATTTATCAGGGCTGGGATTGTGGCTCAGCGGTAGAGCGCTCGCCTAGCGTGTGGGAGGCTCTGGGTTCGATCCCCAGCACCACATAAAAATTAAAAAAATAAAGATATTGTGTCCAACTACAACTAAAAAATAAATATTAAAAAAAAAACATTTATCAGACTTATGAAACAGACAAATCAAAATTTAAAAGGCAACTTATAGGTCAAACACATTTATTAGAAAACATTAATAAAATGAAACAATTCATTTACAGGAGCAGAGCATGAATAGGTCCAAGTCCTCGAGGGAGGCCCGCTATACCTGGCCCTGAAGCAGGAGGCCCCAGCCAGGCTGGAAAGGTGCAGGAGCCCTCTCCCTAGAGCCACCCAAGAAGCAACAGGCAGGGCAACAAGACCAATGGGACAGGCGGAGCTAGAAACAAGACATGAAAAGCAGGACAACACAAGGCAGTGGAGGAGAGATGAGGGTGGTGACGGTGAAGATCGAGGGCAAAGCTATTCTCCACTCCATAAAACTGGTTCAGAACCAGCTCTCCAACCCCAGCCTGGGTATTCATGAAAATGGTTTGTAACTCCATACCACTTGCCTGCCTGCTGAATACAAGGGCCTGTGCCAACATACTTCTTAATGCTGGATGCTTTTATAATTGAGTTATTAACACATGAATTTCTTAATGCATAAATTAATGTTTTGTTAATAAAAATATATACTAAAGAGTCAAGTAGGAATTGGACCTTCAAAGGAGCAGACATCACAAAATAGGGGAAGGAGAACAGCAGCAGGAGACAAGATTGCAGGGAATCAGAACCCGTGGAGTTTGCCCTCGTGTGACAAGAAGCTCCTGGCAGCTGCTGGGGTGCAAAGACCCATGTGTTTAACTGCATGGCTTTCTGAGGATCCCTAGCGCACTCCCTTAGCACCAGGCCTCCACTGGGGGACAGCAGTGACTTGCTCCCATGCCTGTCCAGTTGAATGTGTGAAGCTAATGTCAAAGCCAGGTCTAGAGAGGCTTCAGGGAGAAGAGAAGGGGGTGTGCAGGCTCACCAAGGCACCAGGGATGAGCCCTGAAACAGGAGATCAGAGCAGGCATCTGGGAAGCCAAACGAAGAGCACGCACCTTCTTTTTGAGGAAATGAAATTTTCTTACTATGATGCCTTTACAAATGTTTCTGGAGCATCTTCTGAACATACTAACAGGCTGCAGACACCTTCTTTCACTAGTTACTATCTGTGCTATATTTTATTTACTGTGAGAAGTAATAATGCTCTTCAAACTACACACCAGGCCTTTCTGTTACTTTTGTTTCAAGAGCCAGTGTGTGCTGAGAGCTGACCAATTCTTTTCCTTCTTGCGCCTGAAATCCTCCTCTGAAGACCATTTTTCTTTCTTATGTGCATTCTGCTGGTTCCCTATGCTGGTGAACTCTCTGATCACCAGCTTCTTTGCTGAGCCTCCTGAAGCATCTGGATCTTCCCCTGCTGCTCTGAACACCTGGTTGGGCTCACTGGCTGGCACTGCCACCAAGGTCTGCCAACCTGTCGGTCTAGCCCTTGCCTTTGCTAGGGATTTAAAGTCAACCCCTCACTTGAGGGCTCCTTTCTCACTGATTCTAGAACATTCGCAGGCATTGACGCACGGGGCAGTCTCTTCTTCCCCATTCTTTCATTATTCTAGATTATCTACTAGAAGTAGGTTGACTTTTTATGTTACATAAACCTGCTTTCACATTTTCTATGTGTTCACCTCACACAATGTTCTCAGCAGTTTTTCAGCTATATCTAATGTACTGTTTTACCAACAACAATTCCTATTCAACTTTACTTGGAACAAGGTAAAATAAATTGGCTTAAAAGAAGAACAAAAAAAGCTTGCATACTTGCAGATTTAGGTTCACTGAGTATGTTATTACTCATTAGGAATGTCATTAAGTAAAACTGTCACTGACACGCCTGTATCTATGAAGATGACAGAAGCGTCTTAATAAAAGTGCCCAGGCATTCGAGCAGACTGGCAGCTGTCCTCAGCATGTACATACTTCACCACTTAGCTGATCCTGCGGTTGTCATTCAGACCTTCCCTGGCCACTGATGCAAGCCGGTGACACCACATGCTCCAGGAGAATTTGGTTAGCTAGTTCCTATTACGTGACACGTTTGAAAACCAAGCCATGCTTCTGACACACTCTGGAACCGGGACAAGACTGCAGTGCACTTCAGATACAGATTGTTTCCACAAAATGTGCTTTCTTCGCTCTCAAAATACTGATTTATACCCTTGGACCGAATATGACTGACCACTGCGTACACTGTCTACACATTGCTTGATTTCTGCATCAGTACCTACAAAGAGAACCCCTTGAAAGAGGCCCCTTGTTACCAGTTATGCTTCTCTCAAAATGTATTTATTTTTTTAAATATTTTTTAGTTGTCAATAGATCTTTTATTTTATTTATTCATATGTGGTGCTGAGGATTGAACCCAGGGCCTCACACATGCCAGGCAAGCACTCTCCCACTGAGCCACAACTCTAGCCCTCTCTCAAAATTTATTTATTTTTTATTTAATTAATTTAGTTTTGATATTGGGGATTAAACTCATGTGAGCTTGACCACTGAGCCATATCCCCAGCCTTTTTTGAGACAGAGTCTCACTACATTTCTTAGAGCTTTGCTAAGTTGCTGAGGCTGCCCGAAGTTGAGATCCCCCTGCCTGGGCTCCCCAAGACACTGGGATTACAAGCATGTACCACTATGCCTGGCTCAAATTTATTACTTCAGATGCACATTTTTCAGCTCACATCTTAAATTAGGAGTAAAATAAATAAATAAATAAATCACTATGGAGAAACAAAAAAAGGATAATTATAGGGATTTCTTCCAATTCACCTAAAATCATTTCAGTTTAATTTAATGTTTCAGAAAAAGTCACGAAGCCCTAACCGTGTTCCCTGTGGATGCACCACACATACTAATGCTTCTCAGGTGACCTGTAGCCATGAATAAGGTAACCAGAAGTTTACTGATGGGCAGATCAAGCCCTGCGACATAAACAGAGGCCATAGATCAGAAGGTAAAGAGTTGGGGCTCGCGTTCTATTTAGAACAGAGGTGGACACAAGTAGCCCTGAAAAGAAAGGTGCCTGGCAAAAGACCACTGGTGGTTCAGGTAGACCTAGCCTCTGAAGCAGCACTGGCCAGCAATTACAAACCCACTTCCTTTACACAGGAGCTACAACGACGAGCAGTGTGAATACTAAGCATGTACCAATGCACTGTGCATGTTTCTTTTTTTTTTTTTTTTTTTTTTTTTTTAAGAGAGAGTGAGAGAGTGAGCGAGAGAAAGAGAGAGAGAGAATTTTTCAACGTTCATTTTTCATTTCTCGGCGGACACAACATCTTTGTTGGTATGTGGTGCTGAGGCTCGAACCCGGGCCGCACGCATGCCAGGCGAGCGCGCTACCGCCTGAGCCACATCCCCAGCCCTGTGCATGTTTCTGACACATGAAACAAAGTGGGGTGTGTGTCTTACTTCCACTCCTCCGGAGGATGGGCAAGCTCATACTTCTCCCTCACGCTGGAGACACCCATGTCCACATGCAGCCAGTGAACCTCCTCCGACCGCAGGTGGCTGAGGCGGAACCCGTAGCAAGCCACATGCTTCACTCTGTGGCTGTCCACTATCTTCTGGATGATGCCCTGGAATACATCCCACAGAAAGAGCTGTTAAGAAACAAAAAGAGCCAGGCGCAGTGGCATACATCTATAATCCCAGTAGCTTGGAAGGCTGAGGCAAGAGGATCACAAGTTCAAAGCCAGCCTCAGTGAGACCCTGTCTCTAAATAAAATACAAAATAGGACTGGGGATATGGCTCAGTGGTTAAATGTCCCTGAGTTCACTTCCTTGTACTGAAAAAGAAGAAGAAACAACAAAGAAACCAAAAAGACTGCACGGGGTGGTAGCCACACATGTACCTAAGGAGCTCAGGAGGCTAAGGCAGGAGGATTTCAAGTTTGGCTAAATTAGCAAGGACCTAACCAATTAATGAGATTCATCTCAAAATAAAAATAAAAAAGGTTTGGGATGTGGCTCAGCAGTAGAGCCCTCCTCCTGGTTTAGGTCTCCAGTACCAAAAAAAGAAAAAAGAAAAGAAAATGAAAAGACTGTCTCTTTTAATTACCAGACATCTTTGGTAAAACAGCATCAAGTTAAATAACTTAGTTAATTTTATATAGGAATTTGTTTCCAAGAAGGATTTTTATGAACAAGGGAAGTTTTAGAAAAACAAACAGTAAGATGCTCTTCCAAGTCCTTCCTGATAAACGCAGCACAGTTAACTTCAACACTTTGCAACGCCGCCCTCAAATGACCCCAGCCCTGCCAAGATGCGCCAGCGTTCTTCAGGTTCCACTTCCCAAGGACTGGCCCAAGGGGAGGTCAGAACATTTCTCAAGACCAGGCTAAAACATCATGTTTTCTAAAAACACACGTTCAGGAACATTCAATTAAGCCCATGTTCCTGGTGATGTTCAAAATAAAGAGTTCTTGGGGGGGCCTCATCAATCTATTCTCTGCTCTCACAGAGTATGCAGCAGCCTATAATACCCCAAATCCAAAGCTTGCAACACACCTGTCCCTGAGTCTGGAGGAGGTGGGCGTGAAAGCTAGCTCCCACCCCACACTGTCCCTGTGGAGACGCCACTGAGAGGGTGTCTGCAGATCAGCAGCAGGTGTGAGGACTCAAGTGCTACCCTTCATGGGAGGGGCAGAGAAAGCCAGGACCCAGGGGCACACTTCCCAGGCTTTCCAGTGATTGAGAAAAGCTGCTTTTCTGGGGGGGCAGAGAGTAAGAGTTCTTTGAACCCAGGGTCACTTCAGTACTAAACCAAATCCCCAAACTTTTTTTTAATTATTATTTTTGAAACAGAGCCTTGCTTAGTTGCTGAAGCTGGCCTTAAATTTGCAATCCTCCTGTCTCAACCTTTTGAGCCAGAGGGACTGCAGGCTCATGTCACCATACCTGGTATGAGAAAAGCTCTTTAAGTAATGCTAATTTTATAACAAAACATGTCTATGAAAACAAATCATCACTAGTTATTAAAAATTAGCAATTAACTGAAGCTACAATAACTTGTAATGTAAGCCACATTTTTTTAAATTCCCACACTTGCTATTTATTCATTATGGCCTCATGCTGTTGATAATACAATACAGGATGTTCCCGGCCTCTCCATTAAAACAAACAAACATGACACAGCACATTCACAAACAATGAAGGCTGCACAGTGCCCTGGAGTCTGGCTTGGTGGAGCTCCCTGAGTGCTGAATGGGTGAGGCAGCCATTTGAGCTCCCTTTCAGGTGTCCAACCACACCCAGGAACAGTGGTAGAGAGCAGACAAGCTGTCAGAGCACCAACAGAGGATCAGGCTCCGGTGATCCATGGCGGTCCTAATATGACACCAACAGCCTTTCGTCCTGGAGGGTAGTCTGTGGCCGGCAGCCCTCCATCTGGATCTGAGAGAGGCATAAAGTGTCCTTTCTGGCTTTTTGAGGCAAAAAGCCTGGAATTCTGACAGGGCTGGTGTAGATGACGTCCAGGCTCTACACTGCACAAGGGTGTCCAGTCGCGGGAACCATCAGCCCAGTTACTGACTTCGGATCTTGCGCACTAGGTGAGGGATGCCTGGATAAGGGTCGATGCTGCTTACGGACTCTCTCCAAGCAGAGCTCTGTAGCTTCTCCTTGCCAGCACGCATGTCCCTGGCCTACGAGCAAGGGGACTGGCACCACTCTAGAATCCCCACAAAAGCAGCTTTGTCCCCCTTCCCAGATCTGCCAGCTCAGCAGCCGGGGCAGCAACCTAGTCACCTTATGGTGCACAGTGTGTCACACCAATACCTGTGGCTCAGCAGCTGGGCAGTGACACCAGTCACCCTTTGCACAGTGTGCCACATGCCTTATATCTCATTGTCACCATGGTTCAAGAGCAAGCCCTCTGCTGTTGGAACTAGAACAAAAGCCTGTCTTTCTAATCTGTTTCAGTAAACTGGTCTATGTTTATACCCAGAAGCCAACTGCAAAGCCATGCAGGGTATTAATCATTTCTTAATACTAGTGTCTGCCACCATTCACATCCTAGGGAAATTCCTCTTCTCTGGGTGCTCTCACTGACGATCCCACAAAAAGGTCCCTTCCTTTCCTCTCAGTGCACAGAGCAGCTCCTGGAACCCACCTGCTGTAAATCAGTGTCCATGGAGAGGCTGAACCTGGAGCAGCCCTGCTTCAGAAAAGGCCCATGGTCTTGTTGCTTGTTGGAGGAGACTGACTTTGAGTCCACGCCCTGGACCACACCGCCTGAAGAGACCCAGGTGACTTCAGTTTCCATATTGTAGCACTTTCCATATTGTCACACTTTCACACTCCTCCAAGTAACTAAAAGTATAACCATGCAGGGGGTTCCCTGTTTTGTGCTGTGCTTTCTCATTATGTGTCTACACTGTGTTCCATCCTTTCCTCATTCTCTGGTTCCCTCAGAGTCTCTGGACAGTGGCAGACATGAAATGTGGGGTTCTTAAGTATATGGAGCTGATGCTGATTTAGTCAGTTTTTTTCCACTGGTGCGACTAAAAGACCTGATTAGCAAAATTGTAGAAAAGAAAAAGTTTATTTGGGGGCTCACAGTTTCAGAGGTCTTAGTCCCTGGAAGGATGGCTCCATTCCACAGGGCTCGAGGTAAGGCTGAACATCATGGCAGACGAGGGTAGTGGAGGAAGCAGCTCCCATGGTGACCAGGAAACAAGAGACAGACTCCACTTGCCAGGTACAAAGGTATACCCCATAGCCATGCTCCCAATTTACCACTTCCTCCTAGTACACCCTACCTGCCTCCAGTCACCACTCAGTTAATCCTATCAGCAATTAATTCACTCATTAGGTCAAGACTCTCATAACCCAATCATTTCTCCTCCGAACATTCTTGCGTTAGTCTCACATATGAGCTTCCGCGGGACACCTCACATCCATATCATAACAGATGCACATACTCAACAGCTTATAGATGTTATCTTGAGCACCAAGTATTTGCTTGTGAACAGCTCAGCAAGTACCTGAGAAGCAGAGGTTAGTGATGGAGAAACTCAGACACCACTGGCTGCCATTTCCATAGCACATGCTCGTTCAGATATACAGCACTCACTTCTGGCATGCATACATTTATAAATGTGAATGTCCCCAGGGAGTGAGAGAACATGGTTTATAACATACTACTAAAGTTAGCTGAATAAAAATTTAAATTCTCATCCTACTGTGCATGACAAACTTGTCATAGGAAATATAAAACAATACTCAGCTACTCTGAAGCTTCCACTTTTCCATCTGTTCCAGGTTTTTAAAATACCCAATTTTCTGGAAAATATAGAAATTTTTTTTTTTTTAGAGAGAGAGAGATTTTTTTTTTAATATTTATTTTTTAGTTTTCGGTGGACACAACATCTTTATTTTATTTTTATGTGGTGCTGAGGATCGAACCCAGTGTCCTGCACATGCCAGGCAAGCACACTACCGCTTGAGCCACATCCCCAGCCCTGGATTATTTTCTTATATTGATATTTTGGTTAAAAGAACTCTTTTTTAAAGTTTAAAGTAAAAGAAGCCCACATCTGCATTTCTCGCAGCAGGAGTAGACGTAGTCATTTCCCTGCTGATGGGTAGTGTTTGTGCTTGTGTGGTTGAGAAAGCTGCTGCCACACCACAGGCACATGTAGAAATGGACAAGCTGCCTCAGGAGCAGCTGCCACAAAACGTGCTCAGGGAGGCAAGCAGCTGGCATCAGGGCGGCTCTGAGAGGCCGTGACCCCGCTGCTAGCCTGCCTGCCACAATGCTAACAGCAGAACCACAGGACACACCCCAGGCTTTTCCTTGCTGCTTCCCAATGAGACGAGGCTGCACAGTGTCCTCCTGAGTTTGCCTGGTTCCATCTGGTCCCCCATCTTTTAGACAGTGCTGTGGAACGAAACCTTTACTTCTCTCAGGAGTGTGTCATAGGACGCCTTCCTCCAGTTCATGAACCCACTGTGTATGTGACACTAGCAACTCAAGCCCAGGTGAGGTGCCATCTTCACCCACGGAGGGCCAGAGTCTAGCAGGAGCACTGACAGTGAACGCTGCAGGTGAGCAACAGCTGACTGGGGATGCGGGGAGGTAAGGCAGGGAACCATGCAAAAGGGAGGTTTGATGTTTCCAGTTATCTCCCCACACTTAATTTTAAAGATGAGCTCATTATCATAAGAAAGAGACATTGAAGCCACATAGTGCCATTATGTCCCCCTAGGACTGACCTGCAGTGCGTGGCATTTCCTTCCTCTATGTACTCCTCCTCTGGACATTCTTCAAGAAGTGAAAGCATCCCCATCTTCTTCTCTGATCACACCCTGTACTGCCAGGACCCATCACTGAGTCATCCAACCAGTCCAGAGCTTCAAGTCCTGTTTCTACAAAGCCCTCCACTAAAAGGACACACTTCCACTGCCTAAGTCAACAGTCACCACACTCTCAGGGCTTACACAGCACAAAGCGTTGTCTTCAGGATCTAGAGAGCACCAGTCTAAAGTGGGTCTCTCTGGAGCTCTGGCTTTGCTGCCTGCAGATTCTTGGCGCACTGGCATGCTTTGGCTCACAGTTCCTTCCTCCATTCAAAAGCCAACAACATGGCATCTGACCCTTTGTCATAGTCACTTCCCTCCGACCACAGACATGTAAAGTCACTAGTGTTGGACTTCCCTGTTCCCAGGCCACACCTGTGAAGGCCTTTTGACCATGTGAGAGAACACCCACAGGTTCTGGGGCTTAGAGCATACCAGTCTTAGTGGCCACACTTCTGCCACTACAGAATCCCACTCTGCAGATCTGGTGAGGAAGAATCCCTCTTCCTCGGAAGCTGGCACTGACTTTGCGCTCCTCCTATGGAAGTCCCAGGTGCACCTTTATCTGACAGAAGGCTGCTCCCTTGGTATGGGAAGCACACCACACAGCGCGGCCACCTCCACTGACTCCTGGACTAGATCTCCTGGGTGATGAGCTGTAGCTGCCACGTCAGCACTTGATGGTTCTTCCCTTTTTGCTTCTGTCCTTCCACCTCAAGAACAAACCTCTGCTGCCTCTGGGCTTTTTCTCTGCAGCTTCCTCATCTATCTCAGCCTTCACAGAATTGGAGAGAGAGGGCCTTGTTTCGGGCTAAGTTTTGGCTTGTGGGCTGCCCTGGATGGATGGATGGTCTGTCTAGACTGCTAAAACTGCCTCCATTCAGCAATAAGGTGTTTCACTTTCTTGTCATTCATGCACTCACTGGAGCAGCACTTCCTTCCAGAACCTCCCTTTGCACTCCACTTAGCTACATTTGGCACAAAGGCGTTCCTCATAATGCTTCATCAGTTTTAGATTCTAAGTGAGAGACTTGCAGCTATTCCTTCCACTTGAACAGAGACCACTGTGGGTTGTTAGATGGCACAACTTCAATACGACTGTATCTCAGGGAACAGGAAAGCTGGAGGAGAGGGAGAGACAGGAGGTGGCCAGTGGCTGGAGCAGGGACAACCCACACATAATTTATCAATTAAGTCTGATGCCTTTCATGGCTGTGTGTGTAGAGCCTCCAATGATTATGGCAGTAAGATCACAGGTGACCATAACTGCCTTAAGAGTAATGAAAAAGTTGGAAATACGTGAGAATTGACAAGATGTGACAGAGACATGAAGTAAGTCCACTCTCCTGGGAAATGGTGCCACAGAGTTACTCAACACAGTGTGGACACAAAACTCAATTTGTACAAAGGAAAAGGAAACAGTATCTGCAAAGTGCGCTACAGCACAGCATACTCCAGGAGGGATGCCTGTGCAGCGTGATAACTGGGTGGCACCAAGGCTGGGCCTAGACAAACCCGAGCTCCCTCGGCAGGGACAGGCAGGGTGCCGAGTCAGATTGTGCCGTAGCCTTGGGAGGTGAGGGGAACTCTAGAGAGGAGCAAGGCAGACCATAGTCAGGCAGCAGCCTGCATATGGGCCTCACCATCCAGACTCCTGCTGGATGGCTGCCGTGGCTCCTTCTAGCTCACTTTTCTGCTCCGTCCATTACACCCTAAGTATTTTCAAAGACAGCTGTACGTTAACTTTCCACATTACTACTTTCCTGCAGGAATCTTCTTCATTCTGGATTTTCTTGATTAATAATTATCTGGTATCATCTTCTGAAGAACAAGTCACTCACTGTCCTGAGCCCTTTGAAGATAACAGTCAACATTTACCTGCACGTGTAGTCACTTAAGGGAAGTCTGGTGTAAACAGCATTCCTTCTCCTAGGTAGGGAGGGGAGTCTGTCATGAGTAGACTGTAATTTTCTCTATATTGTCATATTCTAAAATATCAGTACAATGTTTCTGGATGACTGACCTGCGTATATATGTGTGTGTTTTACTAGGTATTGAACCCAGGATGCTATACCACTGAGCTGCATCCCATAATATAAAATTTACCATTTTTTTAAATTGTTGATGCTTTATTCATTTATATGTGGTATTGAGAATCAAACCCAGTCCCTCACACATATGAGGCAAGCACTGTACCACTGAGCCTGAGCCACAGCCACAGCTCACAGCCCCTTTTGAGACTGGGTCTTGTTAAGTTGCCCAGACTGGCCTTGAATCTGTGATTCTCTTGCCTCAGTCTCCTGAGCTGCTGGGATCACTGATGTGTGACACCACACCTGGCTGAATGACTAATCTTAACATTGTACAGGCTGGGTTCATCTTGCTGTCTGAAGTGACCCATGCTTGTGTCCAGAGCAGTCTAGAGCATGGGCTTGATACCTGGCCATGACCAAGATGAGTGAGGTCTGCAGTCACAGGTTCCTAAGTTGCTTAGGGAAAGAACATAGCAGGCTGGCAACACTGCTCAGTAACCATGACTAGATTCATGACTTGCATCTGATTTTGGCGGTACCTGGGTGGTGACATGGGTGCAGGCTGATCCTGCAGGTGGAAGTGTCGATGTGACCAGCTCACAAGCCATACCACCAGAGGCCTGAGGCTTCCTCATATTGAGGTGCTACACAGAGATGATCTTCAATCTGGAAAAAGGCACATGCCAAGCCCAGAGGCACCTGCTCTCTCCAGTTTCTGAAAGGAATCACTGTGAACTGACACTTCACCTACAAACTGTGGAGTCCTGTGAATCCTTTTAGCAAACGAATCTTTAAATCAATCACTGAGCACATACATGTAAAAGGCGTAAACTTTATTAATTGAAACACAAGAAATAAAAACTTCTCTTTCAAGAACTAAAAAAAATGGGGGGGGTGGCGAACAAGTCAATACCATTACATGAATATGATTCAGCTAATATTTTCTTAAGAAATTTTATAACTAAAACTATAGTCAGTCACATATTAAGTAAATAAAGCTTAAAAGGAAAAAGGTAACATCCTGACATTTCTGTAACTTGGAAAGTATCTGATAAGTAAGAACCTCTTCATCTGTTTTTTGTATATATCCTTCAACTTAAAATAAATATGCATTTAGAATGTCGCCTGGGAGATATACTTACCCTGACATCAGTAGCATCTCCGTGCCTGATAATACTGGCCCAGGTGGTTGGCTCATTATTGCTTTCAAAATAATGAAAGACCTTCAATACTCGCTCCATGGCACCAGGGGAACGTTCCATGCCAGGACCCAGGTGGGTCTTAGCACTTGAGTGTGGCGTGTGGTTCAAGTTGGGGTCAAGGTAAGCAGCTGCCATTATTTTGCTGGATGCTAGGTATCTATCATATTCTGTTAAGAGAAAAAAGTTTTTTTCAATGTCTAATATTTGAAATCAAATCACAATATGATGCATTAGTATTTATATTATCAACACCATTCTTCACTCTCTCCCATGATGTATCATGCAGAAGAAATTTGAGGTGAATAGGGTCTTAACCTGCCACAATAATCACTGTGTCCCCAGGCCCAAGGCAGGACCTGATTGACCACAGTATAACACAAACTTGTTGGAGAATTCATTTGAAGAGCAGGACTCCTGTTTAAGTAATGTAAAAAATTCACTGTGCTATCTATGTCCCTTCCCTTTTACTTCTACAGTCTTGAATTGTGTGGAAAAATCTCATAGCAAAAGCCAGATTTGTTAATTAAAAATACTGCCCAGTTTTGAGAACTTTCCCCTAAGAAAAAAGTTCATTCTTCCTACAGTAAAAACTCAATGAGTAGACTTTATTCATACTAAGACTGGCAACTAAAAGCACTAGAATCAGGGACTGGGGATGTGGCTCAAGCGGTAGCGTGCTCGCCTGGCATGTGTGCGGCCCAGGGTTCGATCCTCAGCACCACATACCAACAAAGATGTTGTGTCCGCCGAGAACTAAAAAATAAAATATTAAAATTCTCTCTCTCTTAAAAAAAATAAAAATAAAATAAATAAATAAATAAATAAATGCACTAGAATCAAAACAAGTTCCTCCCACTTAGTCAAGTCAGGTTAAGCAAGAGACTCTGATAGAGAACTACTGAAAACAAAATAGCCTAAGTGACTGCATTATTTCATAAACTCACCTTGAGATTAAACTGAAACTATGGATTTTAAGAAAACAAAACAAAACTGATGTTTTGGGGCTCGAGGAAGAGACAATCTGTGGCAGCCCGAACAACAGTGATAGAGATGGAGCCAGAACCTAATTCCTGACAGCTGCTTCTTCCTACAGGCAGCTCAGGTCTGAGAGCCAGAAGAGTCCAGGAAAGGTGGCTAGTGGGAAAGAAGCCAGCAGGACCTTGGGCAGCAAGGGGCTGGCATGCTGGAAGACTCCGCCTCGGCCTGAGCCCCCACTACAAGCATTTAGTTACAGCAGCCCCAGTTAAGACACATATTTACAACCTGTCAATATGTATGTATAAGGTCATTCACTCCTGCCTGGCCCAAGAGAGTAGGCAAATGAACTACAGCAAATTCCCACAACAAAGTACCACGAATCTGTAGGGAAGGATCCAGGGAGGAGACAGAAATACCGCTACAAATAAAAACAATGAAAATAACTGCTAAAGTACACGTATCCAACAATACAGTTAAAAATTTAAAAAAATCAAGTTATCTCTTTTCTAAAAATAAAAGAAATAGTAAGGCATATCAAGGATTGAAAAAGACAAGAAACATTAGCACTATCAAGAATGAAGCAAAAATGAGGATACAAATAAAATGGTTGGGAAATAATTAATGACACTGAAAATAAAAAATCAATGCAATCCAGCAACTTCAATGTTTACAGCAGGACCATTCACAGTCACCAAGTCATGAAACCACTCCAGATGCCTGTCAACAGATGAAGAATCAGGAAAATGTATGTATACATCAGGAAGTTCTAGTCAGCCATGAAGAAGAATAAAATCATGGCATTTACTGGTAAATGGAAGTAAATGGACAGCATCATGCTAAGTGAAGTAAGACTGGCCCAGAAAATAAAGGGTGGTCAAATGTTTTCTCTCCTATGTGGAAGCTGGAACAAAATAAGGGAAAGAAGGCTGGGGGCGGGGGGGGGGTTAATATCACAAAGATAAAGGAAATATCAGCAGAGCAGGAGCAGAGACAGAGAGGAAGGAAGAAGGATGGGAAATGGGAGGAAATGCAGAATGAATTTAACAAAATCATGTTATGTGCATATACAAATATACTTCAGGGAATTATCCCTTTATGTATATGTAGAAAGCACCAATCAAAAATGAGCAAATAGATGAGTAGAGGAAGGAAAACAGTAAGGGAGAGAGGAAGGAAAGGAGCAGGGGAGAGGGGAACGAAAGGGACAAACAGGAAAGGAAATCAAATTTGACACATTCATGATTTTGTCAAAATGAACCCAACTATAGTGTACAACTAAAATGCTCTAATTTTGAAAAAGACAATTAGATAAGAGATGAGACTATTAATATATTTTAATATTCTTTTTTTAACTTTTTTTTGTTGTAGATGGAAACAATATCTTTATTTATTTTTATTTGGTGCTAATGATCAAACCCAGGGCCTCACACGTGCACGGCGGGCGCCCTACCACTGAGCCACAGCCCCAGCCCTATTTTAATATTCTTAATAAGAGAATATAAATAACTTCATGCCAATGAACTTGAAAATTTTAGATGGAAGACAATCCTTTCAAAACACAACTCAGGAAAACTGAGACAATAAACATAAAATTTAGAATACTATTAAAAATAAACAATCTATAATTAAAATTATTTCTATAAGAATATTTGCATTCTTCCAATAAATAAATGGAAAAAATATATTGATCTCACAGAAAAATTCAACAAATATGGAATATTTCCAAATTAGCTTATTGAGACAAGCAAAGCAGTGGTATCAAAACCTGTCAAGGACAATACAAAAAAGGATACAAGCTGGTATCTCCTAAAATGAAACATTTTAACAAACTGTTAGCAAATTTAATCCAACAATATTTAAAGAATACATCACGAAAAAAATGAGTTTATTCTAGGAACGCAAAGGTGATTATGCATTCAAAAGCAATTTGTAATTCACCACTTTCAGAAAGGAGAACAGCCACAATTATCTAGCACAGACAGGAAAAGCATGTCATACAATTTACCAACCACTCATGATAAAGGGCTCTTAGTAAACTAGGAATGAGCTTCCTTAATCTCCTGATGAGTAGCTCCAAGAAACTCATTAAAAGCCGGGGGGAAACGTCCCTTTCCTAGACTAAAAATAAGACAAGGATGCTCACTATAACCACTTCTAAGTAACCTTGCCCCAGAAGTTACTACCAATTGCTGCAGGTAGAAAAAAAGAACACAGGGTGAAAAGGAAGAAATAAAACTATCATTATTCACAGACCACATAATTACCTATAAAGAAAATCTGAAATAATCTACAAATAAACTTCTGGAATGAATACAAGGCAATGTTGCTAGACCATCAACTAAAAGCCCACTTGTGATCACTCTGGTTTCCTCTTTGGGGCAAGAATTCGGCACTGAGCTTCAGGCCGTAGGGGTGTATTCGGACATGTCTTATTTTCAGTCTCACTGCCCCCCTGACTTGCTCAATATTATTTGTACTGCTCTCCTGTTGCTAGTATATCAGATCCTCTGATCACATTTTCTGGAGTGGGTTAGGATCTCGCTGTGCTACCCAGGCTGGTCTGAAGCTCCTGGGCTCAAGCACATTCCTGTCTCAGCATACAGAGTAGCTGGGTGGACAGACATGTGTCTGATTTCTCTTAACATTTTTTTTTCCTTTTTTTGGGTGGCCCTGGGTATTGAATCCAGGGGTGCTCTAACACTGAGCTACATTCCGAGCCCTTTTTGAGACAGGGTCTCACTAAGCTGTCCAGACCAACTTCAAACTTGTGAACTCTCCTACGTCAGTGTTATGGTTTAGTTGTGGTATCCCCCCAAAAGCTCATGTGTGAGACAATGCAAGAAGGTTTGGAAGAGGAATAATTAGGTTATAGCCTTAACCTAATTAGTAAATTAATCCCTGGTGGGATTAACTGAATGGTAACTGAAGGCAGGTGGGGTATAGCTGGAAGAAGTGGTTCATTGGGGGCATGGCTATGGGATATACATATTTTGTATCCAGAGAGTAGATTCTCTCTCTCTGCCTGCTGATCATCATGTAAGCCATTTCTATCTGCCACTCTCTTCCACCATGATGTCCTGCCTCACTTTGAGCCCCAAGGAATGGAGCCTGCTATATATCAGACCTCTGAAATCGTGAGCCCCTAAATAAACTTTTCCTCCCCTAAAATAGTTCTGGTCAGATCTCTTAGTCACAGCAGAGAAAAAGCTGACCAAAACACTCAGCCGCACAAGTAGCTGGAATTTTACAGGTGTGTGCACTGCACCCAGCTTTTGGAACACTCTTAAAATGCAATGCTTTTATTTATCTATTTGCTTTAGGAAGCACTTGATAGTATGCTTTACTTTGATGTCCTTACTGTCTCATTTGGGGACCAAGAAGAAGTGCTTACCATTGAGCCTCATCCCCAGCACCTCCCTCCTCTTTCTAAATTCTTACTTTGAGGCAGGGTCTCACTAAATTGCTGAGGCTGGCTTTGAACTTGAGATCCTCCTGCCTCAGCCTCCTGAGCCAGTGAGATTACAGCCATCAAAACCTTTTTAAAAAGATAAGCCTGTTACAGTGTGAGTGAAGCAGTTTTCCATGACAGAATGTGACTGTTTTACAGTCGAATGCTTTTATTTGTTTGTAAAAATGCTATTTGGACCATGCATTCTCAAATGGACATTTCTGCCACCATGCCTTTCTCACCTCCCTCCAGGTAGTTCTGGGCCTGATTCTGTTAACAACTCGACCCCCAACACTCCCAGGTGGCACTCAAGTCTCTTCATGTGTCCTTTTGCTGGTCTAGAGGGCCGAGACCCTGACCTGGGGTGCCTGGAAGGGTGTTCCAGGAATGGCCAGCCATGAAACAAGTCCTGAGCTGCCTTCTCTAGATTGCCTGGTCATCTTATTTGTGTGGTGCTGCCTTTGTTCTGACCCACAGCTGGAACTGCATGACTGGGGCTGCTGATCTCCAACTGTGAAAGTTGTAAAGAACAATGGCTCTCACCCCCACAGGGAGAGGTGGTCCCACTGGGCTCTGCTGTCACTGTAGCCCTCGAGCATCTGCTGCCATTCTCTTACAGCTTCTCAAGATTTCTCCATCAGAGGTATCTAGTATTTTTGCATACTGCAGAGTATTGTTCTCAAAAACTATCAAGGTAGAAAGATTTTAAAACCCAAAACTGTGTTTTACATGGTTTATACT